TCATTTCGATACAATTGTGCCATTCTAGATAATATTTTGGTTATAAATAATCGGAACAGGGTAAATAATATTAATATATTAAACCTGTAGAATATATCAAAATTCAACGTACAAAAATTATCAACAATCAGTATGTTGGAAATTTGTAATTAAGATATTATCAATTGTTGAAAATAGAGGAAATCTTTTATTTAAAAATACCGACTGTCAATAATTGTAAGAATTAGGTAATTATAAAATTACTTATTGTTGGTATTAGTTAGGAATCATCAATAATTGTAGACTTTTAGTATAGTAAAATTCGACAATAAGCAGCTGGTACTGTAGGATTTGACAGTTGGTATGGTAGGAATCGTAGATTATTTCTTACTGTTGGTATGGTAGAAAAATATTGATAAACTCGAAACTATTCAAATGTAACAAATATGTAATATTCGATCACATTTTTTAGTTTATTTAAAAACAAATATAAGTCCATGCACGATAACTATGAAATACGTTTATTTTTCTGTTTTTTTTTTTTTTTAATTGCATTTTATTATTAAATATTTTGAAGAAATTTAATAAAATGCTTTTAGATTATACATTTATTTCGACGTAATATTCATAATATTGATCATCATCCTATCAGCATTGGTTTTACCAACAATTGTTAATATCACTTTCGTAATACTACTTTTTTTTATCTTTATGTCTCGAGAACCGTTTTATTGATTTGTTCTTAAAATAGAAAAATAACTTTCTCATTCCATCCTGGATGAAAACAATTAATCTGGATTGACATCCAAATTAAAACGACGAGTATCAGATGCTAGCAAAGTTAAAGAAAAAAATGGTTATAGGGGTAAAGTTATATGGGCGTCATATAAGCATAAGCAGCATATCAAAACATGCATTTTAAACGTAGAAGAGAGATAATATATATATAATGTCAAGGTCGATTAAAAATGAACAAGATGTTATATAACAAAAGCACATTTATTTTACTTCGACAGAGTTTTTTATCCCGAGCACGAAGCTCGCGTGGGATGTTTTTTTTTCTTCTTTTTGTATTTTTTTAAGTTTTTTTTTTTCGATAAAAACTTTCATCATTCCATGTTTTTTATTTTGACGCGATTTATATCGTATTTGTAAGTAATTAATCATTATTCGCACAATTATAATAAAATGTAAATATAAAATAACTTTAAAAATAAAAAGCTTTTTAAAAATTGGTTGACTGACTGTATAATTAACAAAAAATAAATCTAACAATAAAATAAGAATAGAAAAAAAATAAATAAAAGTAGCGAGGAACGATTGGACTTTTAGTGTTCGTTACATTATATTCTTTTGATGAACTTAGGGGATACACGAAAAAAAAAGTGATTTCACATTTGTCGAGTAGCACAACAGCAAGATCTTCTTCAGTATCCTGTTCCAAACGGTCCCTTTTTTTAACAGTCAATAGTGGAGCCAGTTAACAAAGGCTCTTACCTTATTAGCAAGCCTACGTGCTTAACCCAAATAGAGTAGACTATTCCGTGAAGGCCCGTTATTAATCAGCTGCGAGGACGAATTTAAATGAAATGTTAAATGTAACATTTTAAAAAGGGTAAAAGGTCCCCGTACGAGCAAGTACAAAAATGACATTATTGGCGCGACTCTTTCTGTTTTCATTTTGTTTCTCCATTGGATACAATAAATACATCGGTGTGAGTCTATGTGTTGTCCTGTATGTATGTATATATATATGTATGTTTGTATGGATATATGCATGTATATATGTATGTATGTATGCATGATGTGTACATGTATTTATAGAACGAACAGACAGAGACATGTAACATTCGTATGACTGCGAGGTAAACTAGCAGTCTCGATATATGTATACTTTTATAGTATATATATATATATATATTTCTTTATTTATCTTTCTTTTTTATTTGGTATTTATTTTTTTTTATTCATTTATTTTCTTTATCTTTTGTAATCCTTGTATTTATAATGCGTCTCTTGCGCTGTAATGAAGACATTCGGTTACATAGGTCTCCCACATATGGGGAAAAAAAGGAAGGTACGACTTTTTGTGCATTTGTTCCTTTTCCATTCGCTCGTTCGTTCTTTCTTTCTTTCTTACTTACTTTCTTACTTTCTTACTCTTTATATTTTTTTTTGTTCTCTTTCACGCTACAAAAATTACATTTATACTTTTACGTCACGTCCTCGTGTTGTGTCTCCGTTCTTTAATTTTTTTTGAAATATTCTCGTCGTAATTAACGCTCGTCGTTCGATTTGAAAGTTCATTCTCGATAAGAATTTTTGATCTACGTGTTAGGACACTTAAAAAAAAAAAAAAAACACAAATTCAAGACAATAAATTAATCCTATCGGAATACGTTTTTTTGTTATAATTACGGACACCATACTTTTCATTTTTTTATTTTACCATTTTCTACTACCAAATGTGGTTTGGTTTTATTTTAAAACAGTCATTTCGTCTTTTACTTCACAATTTGATAATAAAAAAAAGAAATATAGTTTCCGTAATTATAGTCAAGTCCAATTCTCCAAGATCGAGAAGAGGATTTTAAAATTTTGAAAAATACAAATTTATATTTCTCCCCTTCTCTCTCTCTCTTTTTCTTTTTTTTTTCTTCTATCATTTTTCTTATTTTTGTATTCCTTCTTACTGTCCAACATTTTTCTTACTCTTGTAGATAAATACATACATACATATGTATATAAGTATTACTTTGCTTCATCTTTCGCGCATGCACGTCATAAAGTCGCGGATAATGGAACACGTACGAGTTTTCCAGGAGTTTTCTTACACTCTTCATCATATTGAACACGCATTCTGAGGTAATCATAAATACATTTATATATATATATATATAAATGTATGTTTTCTATGCCGATCGCACTAATCAAAAACGAACGACGACGACTACGACGACGGAAACACGACAAAGTTTGAACATTTATTATTAATATTATTACTTTTTTTCCTCTCTCTCTCTCTCTCTCTCTCTCTTTTTCTATCTATCTATCTTTCTTTTTCTGTCTCTTTTCTTTCTTATTCTTTTTCAATAAGAAATAGGAAAACAAAAAAAAATAACCACGTTCTTGTATTATACCATCCGCAGTAAGATGCTGTGATCGGTACGGACGTGAATATCGACAGAAATAAATTAATTGAGAAGAATGTGTACACAGGGTGTATTCGAAAAGTTTCGTGCAACCGAACGAGGGATGATTCTACGTGTAAAAAAATAGGGCAAACGAAAGAAGTAAAATTATATTTCGTTTGACATCCCATTTTCGATTGAACGAGTTCCCTATTGAAAGAAACATATAATGTAAGATGTAACATATATTTGGTATTCGTACTGAAAGGGTTAAACATAGAATCAGACCTTACCTGATTGTATTAGCAGTTCGGATATTTGTTTGTTTGAGATCCCCTTTTCGTAAAAAGTCTTCGTATTTTACTTTATGATATAATGTTACACGTAGAATCATTTCCATTCGGTTTTATAATTTTTTTTCGGATATATCCTGTATACATATACATTGTATATATATATATATTTATATAGGAAATTGACATTATGAGAAAGAGTGTATCTTAAATTATTTACCCTTTCTTTATTTTTTGTTGTTTCTTATATTCTTTTTTTTCATCATTATCTTCTTCTACTTCTTTTTCTTGTTCCTCTTGAGTCACTTTAGACTTATTTAATTACGTGTAAAAACGTACGTTTGTTGTACAATACATACATACATGAGCGCGATATTTAGAATCGACCAAAGACTATGGTGTGCGATCATATTCAAATATATGTATATGTAATATCATAATACATAGTAAAATCTTTCAACCTCGGTTACGTCGATAAAGGTTAGGTACTTATTTATTTATTTACTTACTCACAAAATATTCGAAATTTTTTCTTCTACGATCTTTTCCTGTCTTTTAATATATTCTTGTTTCATGAATAATAGTACTATATTGCAAGTTTACATAAGTATAAGAGTCATCGATGAAGTTAGAGGACAAAGTTTCTTCGTCCGTTCTGCGCAAATTGTACTACGCAAATATACTGCGCAACGCGTTCTGCTCAACCGTTTAATTACGAATTAATTATACAACTATCAACAATTAATTATCATAATAATAAAATAAATACTATTATCAAACTATACTAGAATAATATCTTCATAAAAAAATAGAATAATAGTGTCTTCAACTTGTAAAAAAAAAAAACAATAAGAAAATATTATATAAAATCCTCGAGGAACGTTCTAACTTTAAAATAAAATGGTTCGAGCAAGCGAATTAACATAAAACCATGTTGGTTTTTAAAAGAGAAAATTATATCACATGCTCATAACGAACAAAGTTTTCTTCAAAAACCGGAAAACGATGTCCTCCCTACCATTATGTTTTTGACCTTTTTCTTAAGCCAACTGGCTATATAGTACTACCACATATATGATTCTTATTATTTTGTTCATTCCCTTTCTTTTCTCTTCTTTTCTTTTCTTTTTTTTTCTTTTCTTTTCTTTTCTTTTTTTTTCTTTTCTTTTCTTTTCTTTTCTTTTCTTTTCTTTTCTTTTCTTTTCTTTTCTTTTCTTTTCTCGAGAACTCGGACGAGACGAATATTCTCGAGACGTACACTGTATAAAAGTTTATAACGTGTATATGTGTTTCCACGTATGCACACACACGTATACGAGGTACATCATAATCATACACTTGCACATCATATATTTATAGTTGCATACTTACATACTTACATTCATACACATTATACATACATACATACATACGTACATACATACATACATACATTCATAGATTCACACAACGAGCGAGCGTAATTAAAAAAGGACAGACGCTCGTGCAAATTCTCTTTATCGACCGAGGACGCGACCTTTACTGATATCATTTCTCGTCTACGTCTATAAATGTCGGTCATTTTTTATCTCTTTTTTTCTCTCCTTTTTTTTATTTCTTCTTCTTCTTCTTCTTCTTCTTTTCCAAAAGATGATCTCTCTCCTTTCGTTTGTCCCACAAAATTTTTGCCGAAAAAAAGAAAAAGCTCCCACAACGACGACGAAGTCTTCAAAGGAAGAAAACAGAACAGAATGACAAATCGTCTAGCACCGTCGATATTTTCCGTTTTCTTTTTATCTTATTTTAAATTTTGTTTTCTTCTTTTGACGACCATCGGATCGGATCGATTTATCGAAAAAAAATACGAAATACGTAATACAAGTAAATCCCCCTTTTCTATGAAACTTTTTCCTCTATTATTTGTTGTCTATATATGCAGAGTAATGCGTGCGATTATTTTTGTATATATTTGTGTGCGTGTGTGTGTGTGTGTGTGTATGTTTGCGTTTATTTGAAAACGTATACTCGAATACGTCAGGTCCGTGAGATAGAGAGAGAGAGTTAGAGAGATGAAAAGAGAGAGAGAGAGAAAGAGAGAAAGAGAAAGAGAGAAAGAAAGGGCGCTTTTAAGGATGTCGATTCTAATCAAATGAGTACGACTAGGACTTGGCCTTTTCGCTTTGTGCTTTGTCAAAGCCATCTATAAGCGTTTCGATGATGAACTTGATCGTCTTCTTATAGATGTTTTCTACGTTCTCCGAATAACGATCTTCCAACGTTCGTTCCACTGCATCTAGGAAGGGCTTCTCGATTTTCTGAAAACAGATCTTCTGTTTTTCGCTTATCTTCTTACAAAAAGAAATTCGAAATTGAAGGAAGATATCAAAAGAGAGAGAAAGAGAGAGAAAGAAAACGAATGGAAATAAAATGAATTCAAAGAGTGCATGGAATTTCTATAAATATATGCATGAATAAAAATACACAAATAAAATATATATTATAATATATATGTATATACATATGAAAATTGTTCTTAAAAAATATTTTCACACATTTTTTATAGTTTACGATCTTTGGTAAGATAGATCACTGTAATGTTAATGTAGTAAAAATAATAACATAATTTAAAAATTATATTTGGAGGGATATGTGAAAAATGATGACAATTAATAGAAAATAAAAAATAAAAGAAAGTACGATAATGCATAAATAATTTTGGGACATACCCAAAAATATTCTCGATCGAAGCCCGGAATTTTAGTGTGCGATGCACCAACCTGATGCAAGTACTCCAGAAATGTATCCATGTCGTCTAAACATTTAATTCCTTCATCGAGAGTCATCATGACCGTTTTTGCATGTTCGGCCAATTCCATACTCGACGATTGTTGTTCCTTCGTTTTCAAATCACGAAATTTAGTGAAAAGATTCAATAAATCTGCGTTCTCTTCGAATAATCTGCAAGTACAAATATCTATCGTCAAATTGCATTTATTTAATTAAATTATTATCAATTATAATTGTTATTATACTTTAGTTGTTTTTTTCTTTCGATAATGAATATACCTCCGTATTTATTTAGATATTTTGTTTATTTCAAGTAGAAAAACAATTAATTTTCTGATCCAATCAATTTCATGAATCAATAAATGGATACGTGTAATTTCACCTACAATTAATCAAAGATAAGAAGCAAATTAATTCTGCATTATCGTCACGAATTCGATCACAAGCCGCCGAGCTAACCTCAAGGAATGGGTCTGCTGATTAATTAGATCGAATAGATTCACGCTATTCCTTACTCTATTATTCTCCTAGACAATTGTCACGAGACATGTTCAAATTAAAGATCGATAGTTGATGATTTTCATTGATATAATTCTATCTTTAATGATTAATAATCGAGAAAATAAATTAATAACCAGTAAACAAATTATTTATTGGAAAATAAAAATAAATACGTATATATCGTTCGCATTAATGATATTTTGTAATTCGTATTTATTTGTTCGATAATTAACAGCATTGATTGTTACCTACACGACTAATAAGAAATTTCTATTAACTTGCAAACCAATAAACGACGATGCATTTTATAGTTCCTACGTAACACGAGGGTTTGGACAAAAATTTGCCTTTTACCCGACGTAATTTCAATTATCGACAAAAAGTAATTGATATAGATTATTTTTATTATTTTTTTTTAATCTTTTTTTATTACACATAATCAACAAAATGAACGTAATCAATACGTTATAATATATTAATTGAATATGAAGAAAAATTTTAAAAGAAAAAGAGAACGAAATAATTAGCAGATATTTTATCTATCTCTTTCGTTTAACGAAGAAATCGAAAATCAACAAATCACAAAAAAAAGAAAGAAAAAGAAAATAAAAAAAACAATTATAGTTGTCAACAATAGGTTGATACATTGGCGTACATCTACTACATCGTTTATTGATTTCCGAAGCTGTTGTGTTGGAGAAAATACACGTAGTTATGTTCTCTCGTCTCTCTCACTCTCTCTCTCTCGCTTATGCGATATACCTAAATAGCACGATCGAATTTAATTATGCTACGTCAAAAGCTAACTAGAGAGAAAAATAATCGCGACTATGACAAAAAAAACGAGATATTTTGTTGAAAATTCGACAAAAATTTTCAATTCCATTTATATCCGACTATTATTTTTCTATCATGTCTGAAAAGTACTATATGTACGGTATGAATATATATTTAAAAAAATATACCTATATATATATTTATTAAAAAAAAAAAAATCATTTTTTTTTCTCCACGAGATGAAATTTCAAGATTGATAAGATAGATGGATGATAGAAAAAAAATGAATAGAAGAAAAAAAGATTGGTACGAATTAATAATAATAGTAATAATAATTATAAGTAACAGTTATTAGTAAAATTTTGCAATTTATTTTACGATGGTAGGACATTTAATTATATTAGTTAGTACTACGAAAGCAACGACGAAGCGATACGATCAAAGTTCTGAACAAGTGCTGAAGGACTTCTTCCGATTGCACTTTAATTAATAATCAAGTTATCGTCTCTTTTCAAATGCAACATCTATCTACGATCTATACAGAAAATAATCTTGTTCCTTTTTTTTTGTTCTTTAAAGTTTTGTACCATTAAAAAGTGATCCTATGCGGATGAAAAATCCTGTTTTAGGTTTGTTGGGAAATTACTCGCGGTAAAGTAAAAATGTCTTGAAGGAATAAGAATTATTTTTCAAAGCATCTTATTTAAACTTCGTAACTTTGCTTGCCAGCACGAGATAAAGAACTTTGTTCTCCCGTTTGACTTTTATTTTCTCGATAAAATATTGTATGTATATATATATGAGAAGAACTTTGTCTATGATAACCTAAACCCATTTACTTTTTTTATTCGATATTATTTTCATGTACAATTTCTTGATTTTCTTTTTTCTTTTTTTTTGCAATAAAACTTATCGTTTGTATATTTTAATAATGACAAAACTTTTGTCTTCTTTCTACTTTATTTCCAATATACACGTTTTGTAAATCAAAAAAAAAACAGAACATAACTTTTCCTATTTTTATAAACACCTTTGTAAAACTATCATTGTATAGTAAGAAAATTATACTATAAAAAAAGGAAAAAAAACAATAAAAAGGATAAACAATTTGTTTCGTAGTTGGAAAGGTAAGGAAGATATTATAATGATCAAAGATATTTTTAAATCTCGTATCCATACTCGAAGTATGTATTAGCGTTAAAAATAAATAGGCGAGTGAAAGAAAGAAAGAGAAAAAATAAAAAAATGAAAAAAATAAGAAGAAAAGAAAAAGGGAAAAAGACAACTGACCCTCTGAACGTCGTCTATCGGATGACTCGACGGTTTATAAATGAGTCAAGGAACCGTAAATTAAATATGTAATATAAGAACGAATGTTAAACGGAAGTATACGAGTAAAATTATGGCAATAATTGCACCTAAGTGTCGACCTAACTATGTAATACGAAATTTGTGGATTGCAACTTTCAATTTCAATTATCTTCGCTTGTAAGTAGAAGGAAACTTCAAAATGTTCGAACTCATTCGTGTTCTATCTATCTCTTTCTCTCACTCTCTCTTTTTAATTCCCTTCAAACTTTTCGTGCCCTTTTCTAACGCTCAACCTCCGCAAATCCCCAGAAATCAATGTGGAGTACCTTGTTGGAAGAACTGGGAATGAGTTTGTACGAGGAGCCTGGGCTAAATTTTCTTCCGATTAGTGTAATTTCATCTCGAACGTACTAACTTGGACCTAGTAGTTTTACTCATCATCGTAATCTTGCCAGTTACCAGAAAAAGAGAGTGAGAGAGTGAGAGAGAGAGAGAGAGAGAGAGAGGGAAGAAAATTACGTTGTAACGAGATGATTAAAAAAAAATTAAGGGTGTCTTGATGATTACTAGCTTTACCGTAAACTTCATTTCAAATTTAATCCCCCTAGTAACTTCGTTTACGTTCCTGTTTAAATAACGATGATACAAATTTTTCCATCCAACCAAGCACGCTTAGTTCATTTTATTTTCTTTCCTAAAAATTTTAAGTAAATTTATAAATACAATTTTTGATATATATTCAATATTTCAATATTTGGAGATTCAATATTTTTATAGAATATATATATTATATTGTACAAATTTTTTATTGAAATATCTGTTAACGAATCGAACGAATAAATATATTTTTTTTAATTATGTATTGTATCTATCGAAATTTATTATGTATAACTTTTAAATAATTTCTTAATAATTTGAAGAATCTTTTCAAGCAATCAATTAAGTATGAACTAACAAAGTTTAAGTTATTTTAACTTTTATCTAAAGTAAACAATGAAAACTTATAAAGTAAGTTAACTATATTTAACTGTAACATTACACAGTATTATACGTAGTTATACGGAAGATTAACTTTTCGAATCGAACGAAATTCTATCGTTGTCGGGGTGATGGGGGAAGAGGGTTTAAAAAACACAACTCGAGATGGTTATTTATTTTCTTTACATAATAGAGAAAGAATAAAAAGAAAAAATGATAATCCAATGATCGAATAATCGTCAATAAAGACTTTTTTAGGGAAATGAAGTGAAGAAAAAATAGTGAGATAAATGGGATATAAATATATCATTCCGATGTAAAACGAAGTTTTTAAGAATTTAATTTTGGTATTGACAATATTCTATCATTTTTCTTTTCTTCTATCAATCAACATTGTTCGTCGAAAAGGTGTCAATTTTTTTTTATTCTTTTCCTTTTTTTTTGTTTTTCATGGAAAACAAAAAAATCAAGCAACTCAATAGTATTCGCGTTGATAAGATTGTTCTGATGTGAATCATGGTGCTCTTGTAAAAGTTACCTAAAGGTTCTTACGAATACTAGAAAATCTATTGTTCATTTTGCGAGAGCGAGTTAAAAAGAAAAAGAAAACATAAAGATAGAATAAAAGATGAAAAACTTCGCAAACAAGTACGAATATCTGTATTATAGATCAACGATAAAAAAGAAATAGAATAAAAAGAACCCAAAGTTACCCTACATATGTTTCAATGTTTTAACCCTTTGAGTGTTGAATACTTTAAGCTGAAGTATATTTTGTAGGGACGGAATAGTTTAGTTATTAATACAACTCTGTTTGCATGGGATTCATATATATTGATTGATATTATTAAATCAAATCAATTAATAAATTATATTTAATAATTGAAGTAGTTTTTGTTTCTTATATAACTTTCATGTGACCAAGATTCAAAAAAACAATAATCAATACGCGAAAACGTGTTTCAACCAATGATAAAAACCTAAAAAAAAAAGAAACAAGAAAAAAAGGACAGACAGATAATTACGAATAGATATCAGATGAATAACGCAAAAGAAAAAAAAGAAAGAAACCATGACCAAAATCCTTGACTATTGGTCCTGTTTTATCGACAACGTTATCGTTACTGATTTTTATTACAATTTACAGATGTTACTATAATATATTTACTTTTATAGATGGTACACTCCTTTATTATTTGACTGCGATAAATTGAACTGAAGAAACGAAATCCAGACAAAAATGAGAGAAAAATAAAATAGAAAGGGAATTGAGGGTGGAAGTGAAAGAAGGATGACGGGGTGGAAAAAAAAGGAGAAGATATTATTATCTGCGAATCAAAAATATTGAACCTTTTTTTTTCTCTCGATTAAAATGAACCGATCAATGATATTTCGCAATGAACGATCAAAATTTCTATACTACTTCGTCGAAGTAAGTACCGACGACGTTTGTGCTGTGAACCCCGGCCTCATTCCTACCTCGCTATTACTCCTGCGCTATCGAAAATCGTTACGCACTTTCGAGGGAGTGAGAGAGAAAGAGAGAAAGAGAGAGAGAGAGAAAGAGAGAGAGATGGAAAGGGAAAGAGAAAGATGAGAGAAAAAGAGAGAGTGAGTGAAAAAGATAAAAAAACACGTTCAAAAAATTCCATTGTTCGATATTGTAACTTCTTAACAACGAAACGTTGATATGCATACATCTCTTTTTTTTTTTAATAATTATTTTGCAGATAAACAATGACGGACAAGCAGAGAGGAATGTAGGCAAACAGAAAAAAAAATGATAGGTGTTCCATCATTTGTATATATATATATATATATGTAATTTCAATATGAAATTGCTTTCGTTATCGTAATATATTGGAGGAGGTGGGAGTGGGAACGCGTAAACTAATTCTCTGAATTTTGTGATAACTTAACTGTGCATGTTAACATGGTTATATCGTTACGAGTTGTATTAAGAGATCGTGTTTAGAACGAAATTTCAAGATAATACAAAATTTGGCGTATGAAATTTGTATTATATAGAAATTGTGTTTTAACGAAATATATGTGTATGGGGAAAATTGTGTTACATGTTGTTATCAATTTATGAATTTTCTTATATAGAAATTATGTTTTTGAAATATTATTGTGTGTTATATGGTAATAAAGGTTTGAGTATACACGTGTTGTGGTTGTAATGTGTGTAAATAATATTTCATTATTAGAAATAAATTGCATCGATACAGAAAAAAAATAAAAAGAAAAAATAAACACCTACGGACGTGTTATAACGTTGATAACGTTCGACAAACTGAATAGAATCGGTAATGTTGAGGCAAACTTAAACTGATGCAGGTTTCATGATAACCAAGGTGTAGATTTATGCATCGCTACATGTGTCAACGTGTATAGAGATCTTAAAGAAAGGGGAAGAGTGTGAGAGAGAGAGAGAAAAAAGGAAAAGGAAATACGCGTTTTCTGAAGTATACTTGAAAAAAAGGAAAAAAAATATTTTTTAAAGTCAAACGTAAACGTGCTTTTGATCGTTCGTAAAAAAAGAAAATATACATTTTTAATGTACGAAGTATTTAAGGTTGTTCAATAAATATGAGAGATGAGTATGATTTTGGTCACACAAGAGTGAACATAAAAAAAGGAAACAAGAAACTAAAAATGCACATTAGGGGAATAATTCCTGACCCTCTTTTGATTCATTCTATCTATATTATAATGTTTCTGAAACTATTTGTTATACGTTTTCACCCCTACGATTGAAACGACGAATTGAATTGATAAATGATTCAACACTGTTAATTTATATAGAACAATTGATAAATAACAAAAAAAGATGTCAATAATTTATGAAGCATTACTAATGCGTAATTAAAAAAACGATTATTAATTTTATAATAGAGAATCGAAAGGATTGAAAGTGTTGTTTAACCGTTTAATTAATTTTTAGTCATTACTCTGACACGAATAAAATTAATCTCTCAAAATGAATTTTATACCTATCCGTTTTCACATTTACCGAATAGAATAGAACAAAACAACTGTCATTAGTTTAATAGCGTTATGTACATAATAGAAATGCAAAGGGTGAGAGAGAGAGAGAGAGAGAGAGAGAGAGAGAGAAATTGAATATATAACATAGCGGGAAATTTGAATCACAAAATACGTTGGCACATTTTGTTTAATTTTGTGGAACGATATCAGGCTTCTATGTACGTACGTACGTACGTACACACACATATTATTCATGCTATAATACTTATATACCTATTAACACTAACGAATGTATTACCTACACATGCTCAGTTTTACTTGATACTACATGTACATAACGTATATACATATGTATATATATGTTATATATGTATATATACATACATAACAATTCAATTATGGATGCGAAACGAGCACGCGAGCCGACGCAAGCACGTTGAATTAAGTCGAAAGGATATATTGCGACTAGTAAAAAGGCTGTTCTTGGAAAACCTCAAGGTACTTTTCGGTAAGAAATTTTGTATACTTCCGTTAAAGGTCCGAGAAAGTAAAACTAAATTATTTAATATCTCAATGAAATCCAAACAATGTGATAAAATGTTATCCTTTGTCGTGATTTTGTTTTATTTTTATTTTTAACGTTAAATAAAAAATGATATCCTTTTACGTTTATGTTCGGACAGTTTTTATGTTCGGTCATGATCGTTTTATCTAAAAATAAGATAAAATGTGAAAGAAAATAATTTCTTTCATGGGAAAATACATTTTCAATGCATATATGACTTGCGTTATATTCAAGGCTTTTTTTTTCGTTTCATGTCAGATGATAAATATCTTTTTCTCTTTTTCTTCTTCTTCTTAGTCATTATCATCATCATTATCATCATCTTTTTCTTCTTCTTCTTCTACATCTCAAGAGGAAAAAAGAAAGAGAGATAAAGCACATCATCGGCGTCGTTCGAAAGCAAAGGATCAGGGTGGTTCACTGAATAATCCACCCTACTTTCAGGGTTGTGTTTGACGTTGATGGCGGCCTTGAAGAGCCTAAACGCTCAGCTAATCACGTAATGGCGCGTGACGCGAAGAAACACGGCTTGTTCTACCGTGGAAAATGTATGTGGTGTCGTAGGAAAGAGAAAGAGAGATGGATGTATAGACAGATAGATAGATAGATAGAAAGACAGATAGATAGATAGTGACACATAAACCTGTAGAAAGAAAGAGAAAGAAAATCGTTAACGTCACAGCTAACACTGACACGAGAAATTGATGCTTGAGATTTTTTTTTTATGCCAACGTCATCGGTGATTTATTGAAAACAAAATAAAAACTAACCAAAACTTACAAAAAACATTTCTAAACTCTTGGGAGAAATTATTTTCAAAATTTAAATTATTTGAAAATTAAAAAAGACCTCTCGAACTAATATTTATTTGTATTTATTCAAACTAATATTTATTTATATACATTCAAAAGATTTCGAAAGATTATAGAACAAAATTATATTGAAAGATTGTGTATATTAATTGATACAATAATATTAAAATAATAATAAACTAAAAAACAATTTAAAAATGTTATACTTAATTTAATCGATATCTTCTTGATTCTCAAAATAATTAGAAATATATTATTTCCAAGTACTTTCGTAGAACGATAAAGACAATTATTCGGATGTTATTCAAAGAGTAAACGTTCGAGGTTCGATCCAACAAACTTGTCATTTATATGCTACTCTCAACGATATCACAATCGATCGAAAGACGACGTGTATCTATTACAGTTCATGTAACTATAGATCCTTTCTATTTTTAAAATTGAAACGTGCGCTCTTGAAGAATAAGCAGCACGAAAGCGTTCGATCGTTCCTAGAGTATTCTCGTTGAAAATAAAAAAAAAGAGATAAAACACACGCAGATATAAATGGTGTTTGAGATAGTTCAATAGATAAAACAAAATCCCCTTCACCCCTACCCCCAAAAGAAAAAAAAGAAACAAAAAGAGAAATAAAAAGAAAGAAAGAAAGATAGAGTTGAAGTAGATAGATATAACAAACCTTATGAACATGTAGATACCGGTAGCTTCTAGGGCTCTACCTACGGCCCTCCAACTAGCCATAACTGTAAATTTTTGCCTAGCCGTCAATGGAAGTCTAGGATCTGTAGTATTTTGTGGTGGTGGTGGCGAAGCTTCGCGAGCATTTTGATTTCGCGATTTCGTAGCTGTAAGTTTGCTAAGTTCGCAACCCATTTTGTATTGTGAGAAATTGATTTAACGTTATTATACGATTAATCCTATCTCTTTACAAGTGTCTTGATTGGTTTATTCTTTCTTTCTTTGTTATTTTCTTGTTATTATTATTATTGTTAATTTTACACTTTGCGAGAAAAAACGCAAAGCAACGCAACGCAACGCAATGTGCGATAGAAATTTTTTTCTCTCGTGCCTACCTCCCTCCCACCTCCCTCTTCCAGCCACAAAATTTGAATCTTCTATTGGGATTCAAAATGGCAATCGAAAAAATCCACGAGCGTGGTGGATCATCGATCGCAAACGCTCGTATCTTTTCTCTTGTTTATTATCGATGGTTAACATTACGCAACTTTAAACCTTTTCTTCTTTTGAACGAATGTTTCACTTTTTAATTAAATGTTTTTTGTTTGTTTTTTTTCTTTTTTGTCAATTGTTAATGGTCCAGTTATATAACAAACGTATAACGTTTGATTCGAAACTGTCAATTCTGTAGAAACATTTTTAATTTTCTTCGATTTGTCATCGAGAACGTTTGATCGTTAAACGATCGATATAAATCACGATCGTCATTTTAATCGGCAAACAAGTCACACTTCCTTTTTTTTCTATGTTTTTTTATTTTATTTTTTAACTCATTTTATCGCACACGCGCATTTGCGATTATGACGAAAAATCTACAAATTTTCTTCTTTATCTTCCTTACTTTTTTTCTTTCACTATTACTTCTTCTTCTTCTTTCTCTTCTTCTTCTTCTTTTTAGACACGCAACACACGTGTTGTTTGAAATTCTGACACACCGGTTGTATACACTTCGTGGCTAGTCGCTAAATAAGTCTCTGTCAATTCCATTGCAAAATTTTCGAATTTGGTTGAAAAAGAGAGGAAAAAAAAATAACAAAAAAAAAAAAGAAAAAGAAGAAAGGAGAAAACACAACGAGAGTGAATACGATTCTTGTTGATCTCGTTGATGTCTATTGGTTGTCTTATTATTTTCTTTAATAATAATCAATATATGATTTTGAAAAGATGAACGAAAATAGGCCTGACGACGAATTGAGAAAGAAACACGTCATTTATGATACGTCAGGATGATCCGCAATGTTCATTTTGGTTTAGTTGGAAGAACGTGAGCTTGTTTGAGGGGTAAAGGAAGTACAAGTGGTGGTTGCTCTCGAGTATCGGGAAGGAGGATGATGATATTGACAGGAGGTCGAGTATCGGCGGGAGAAACCTTTCACTCTTTCTTTCTCTCTCTTTTCCTATCTTTCGTTCGTTTTTAACGTGTTTCTCGAGATTATCAAACGTCCTCATCGAAAGATCATTTCTTCAGATACGATTGTTTCTATTTTCTTTTCCATTTTTCTCGCTAACTCGTTGCATACATATATATAATGCGTTTATATGTATATATACATATATATATATGTATATATATATATATATATATCTCTTTCTCTTTTGTAAATCGATTCCTGTCCTCTCTTCCTATCTTCGTTGATATCGAGCCAATCGAGAGCACCTGACGCACGCTCTCCGTTATAACTGATATCTCTTCCTTCAACTCATCATAACACCACGAATAGACAAAAATAAAATTTAAGAATACAAAAAAGAACAGTCTTAAAAGTATATTATGAACAATTAAAAAATAGATAGATGATAGAAAAAACTATCCTTTAATTCCGATCATCTTCCATTAACATCCAAAACGATATTCTGATATGAATCTCGTCGTCCATCGATGATATCTTATTTAATCTTTTTTTTCTTCACAATTATTTATCGTTCATATTTGCAAAAAGATTCTTCGTACAATTCACCACTCATCATTTATTTCTATTTCTATCTATCTATCTATCTATTTATCTTTATTAAATTAATAATTCCTTTTTTTTTTTATATGTTATCACTGCACCAAAAAATTAGTTCAGTAAACTCGGATTATTGTATTGGTCTTCCTTTTAAGGTAGAGTTTCCTGTTTTCTATCTTTAGACCGTTTCCCGGGGCTCCCTGATAAAGAGCTTACCGCAATTCTTGAACGTAAACGATATTGCCTAGAGCCCAGGCGAGCCGAGACTGAGGCGCCCATAACAAGTGCTCCTCTGGTGGTGACGCATGCGTCCCGACGCCGGGACCCTTCCTTTCCATCCTTCCATCATCCCCCTACCATACTTACACTTTATATCTTTTCTCATCCTCATCCTCATACACCCTCAGCCTCATCTACAGTCTCATCCTCAGCCTCATTTTCATCCTCGTCCTCAACCTCCATCAGCCTCCATCCAACCCACCCCAACCCCCAAACTCCCCCTCAACCCTCAGCACCCAACCCTCAACACCCGTATCCTCCCCTTTGCCACAAACTACGAGACCAATTAATCGGCCACTTTCCATTTTTGTTTTCCTCCTCCCTCCCTCATCTATTTTCTTTTGCATTCCTTATCTTTATTTCTTTTTAAGTTGATCCAATATTTTACATGTCCTTAAAATTGATCTCTATATAGATTGTCGAATAATAATATTGATATATTAAGTAAGGTTTCTTTTGATTTGATTATATTTGAGTATTGTTATCAAGATTTATATTGTATAAATATGTGTGCATTATATAAATTACAAAAATTTCATTAATTTAAAGTAAGAGATTGAATTTGTAATTGTATGTTAAGTTGGGATTTTCTTTTGCATAAGTGTGTATGTGTGTGAGTTTTATTGTATCATTATTTATATTTTTGAAATAGCGGATAGATGGGTGGTAGAATGATATAACCAACGTGTAAAAATAAATAGAAATAAAAGAAAGAATTGCATTTGAAAATTGTGTATTTAATATTTAAACTAGTTACGTCAAGTCCCTTTAACGTAATATATAACTTTGAAGATTTATGAATATTAAGAAATAATTATTGTGTTTTTAATAAAAAAAAATGAAAAAGAGAATAATTACTTGCAATAGTCGTTTGTAAATAAGATCTATCGGTAAAAAAAAATAAAGTAATCTCGAAAAAATGTTGTTCTATTTTTGTTGTTATTTTTTTCAACTTATCATACATACAATTCACCCCACGCTTCGTTTGTGCAATCCATCCGGATTAGATCTTGTATATATAAAATCTAGCAAATTATATGCAAATCGATTCATTCTTAAAGTTGGAGAAGGTTATCTCGATAAAAAGATGGGGAAAGAGAAAAAAAAAGTAAAATATATCCAAGAGGATCAAAAAAAAGACTTGGGTGTTAAACGGTCGAGACCAAAATTTCGAGGAAAAATAAAAAGAAAAGTATTTTTTTTTCTTTCCTCAAACTGAAAGTCCAATTTTGTCCTTTTCCTTATCAATGTGATCAAATCTTATATATTCTGTTTCGATAGTTGGTAGGCAGAATGCCTCGAGGATTCTTCCAAGAACTTTCGTTCCATACTGAAATTATGATTCTAGGCACAGACGCGGCCTCGAGAGGTCGAAACTCGATGGGCGTTTTACTTCAACGCCTTGGCCGTTAACGAAAACGAAAATGCTGCACCCTTCTTTCTTCCGTTCTACTTTCACGTAAATTGAACAACTTGTCAATTCGATATACAATTAATTTAATCTCTAATGTTATATCTTTTTAAATGATAAAAATATTTATTTTTTTGTTTTTGTTCTTCTTTCTTTTTTTTTATTTTTTTTTTATTTTGCAAGAGAAAATTAAGAACACCTTAACGTAGTAAGAATTTAAATTCTTCGTTTAAGACGACGAGATATAATTCTCTGTTTATATAACTTGTAAATATATTCGTGTATTAAATTAACATATACATTATAAACTATATTTACATATTTAATGTTACTACTGACAATGGGATTGTAAAAGTTTATGTAGAAAACGTAAATCGTTTTTATTTCGAATACATTTGTGTACCGGTAATTACGATATACGGGGTTGGTAAAAAAGTGACAATACAAATATTTTGTTTTTATATTATTTTACAACAGTATTAATAAATTATAATTTTAAAATAAATATCGTTAAATGAAATTCTTTTTATTTTTTTTTTTTTACCTTACAATTTAATAAAGCGATAACATAAAAACGTTACTTATAAATGTATATATACAAGAGGTATAATGTTTAGATAAAATAAAACACTTTTTAATTTGATTTTATATTCCGCGATAAAATGTTTCTTACAATTTGATTGAAATATTTTACTCCATATACATATAATTTCTCTCTATCGTTAGTTTAATCGAAAATCTCAGATTGACGTAAACTAGGAATGAACAACTTGATTATTGCAAAATGTATACGCGCAATCTGCATAATCATACTTCGTTCGTATAAATTATAAGCAGTTTAATGCTTTCACGTTCGAAACGAAGCATACATATATTTGTATCGTTGTGCGAACAGGAATACATTGTTCCGAATATGAAGGAATTAACTAATTCTACGTGCTCGACAATGCATAAAGCAATGTAACGTTATTGAATAAGATTTTCATATGTAACATTATTATTTTTTAATTTTTAATAACGGCACCTTGAATCGTTTGCTTCAACAAGTATTATAAATCATAAGTTGCTATTTGCATTTCTTTTTATTTGTGTTTTCCTTTTTAATATTTTTTAAGTGCATGTGTTCAAAATATCATTCGTATAAAATAAATAAAATTTTCTTTTTTATTCCAAGGTTTTTAAAAGAATGAAATCAATATGAAAATTGTCGGGAAGAAAAGAAACGTTTTTTTGAGAAGGGAACGAATGCCCAGCACCTTCAATTTTTCGACACGTAACAGATAAGATAGAGACAGAGAGAAAGAAAGAGAGGAAAAGGAACAGGAAGAAAAAAAAAAGGATTAGGATCGATCTTCTGTTAAATTGACGGCACAGGATATTCTCTATCAGGTAAAATGTGTAAGAATTGGTAAATTAACTTTCTACAAACGTTCGTATTTTTTTAACGCATTATTTTTATACGAGAATTTTCGAAAAAGTAATTATTTTGTAGTGACGAGAATAGAATAGTCGATTTTAAACGAAGTTTCGAAACCTTTTCTTCGCACGAACTGAATTCGAAAATGGGATGTTTTCAGAAGCAAAAGTAAGTAAAGAAGTTGAAAATTAGATCATTTTTTTTTTTGGTATATCTTTATTTGCTGCTTATTTTTCTTCTTCTTCTTCTTCGTTTTTCTAATTTTTTTTTTCTCTTTTTTATTCCGAATACGTTGGAGCCAGGCACATTTAACAATAAACCTGTAGGTTTCAGGAGCAAGCTAGACATATAATTAGAGTGGAGGTATCTCGTGAGAAAATGCTTCGCCATATAATGACTTCGGGTCACGAAACCGAAGGAAGTTCTTCACTTTGGGCTTTGTAGTCTTGTTTATACGTAAGACGACTATCAGTCGATTTTATTTCTGCCAGTTACCAATCTACAAACTATCCAAATCATAACGGAGATATACAAGAAAAAGAAAAAATATCTGAATAAGGCGTCGAAGTTAACAGATGAATGAACAATTATGTTTGATCTTTACGCGAATAAATAATCATTTACATTTGAATCGTTGTTTGTGCAAAAATTAAAAGAAAATACAAGTTTTTATGTGTTCGATGAAACATACAGGATGAATTAAAAGTAGGTGAACGATAAATAAATTAAATTTATTTTGATATTACATGTAAAATCATATTGACTAATAAAAACATTGAAAACTGTATCGACCAAAGTAAAGAAAAACGTCATAAAACAAATATAAAACATTCTAAAGAAGTTTTCATTTCAATAAATCTTATTTTATCATTTATTGTCCACTTATTTTTGATTCGGTCTGTATATCAATGTATCGGTTGGTACTGCAGGAATCTAAGTATAGTCATAGTAAAACAAAACCAACGAAGACGATGAAGACTACGATGATTACAAGATGAAACAACATACGAATGGAAACAATCATGAAAGTCATAGTAAGTTTTCATCGTGGTGTATTGCGTTATGAAAGTTTCATGAACTCGATGAAATCTAGACTCCATACCTAATTTGTAAAAACCCATTAGTAAGCTATTTACGATCAATCGTATATTTAGTTTTTCACAATTAAATACACTTCGTGCCGTCTTATACTAACACTAATCGTTCGAAAAAAACAACTAACTCAATGTAAGAAGTCATTAATAAATTAAAGAAAATTCGAAGTGAAGAAAAATGGCGACGGTAGCTGGTATTCTTGGAACGCGGTCGGTAAGTTAGAGAACTACAAAACGGGGCCTTAAGATATCTTGAAAGGTTGGTGTATAAGAATGAAATAAAGGAGGCGCCATGGGAGTCCTTAGTTGGGACTAAAGCGAGTATATGGGATTCCACTCATTCTCCCATAAACCTATCTCGTGGTGATGGTGATGGTAGTTGTGGTGGTGGTGGTAATGGTGGTGGTGGTGGTCAGGTGGGGCAGGAAAAGGAGAGGAAGCCGGCTGCCTTCTTCCATCGTGCGACACCCACCTGGCGTCTCACCTGAAGCACCTTTGCTGCTGAGTGCTACGTCGGTCCCCGCGAGTGCGGTGCGCGTCTTCTTCTCTTCCTTTCTCTCTCTATCTGTACACCACCTCCTCCTTATTATCGTTCATTCATTCTCTCATACTACATAATCCATCTCTATCTCTTTCACTGTCTCGTAAAAGTTATTGAACTTATAGTTCATTATTATAACTATAACCTCATTCATTTATTTATTATTTTCTCTGTCTTTCTCTCTGTCTGTCTGTCTGTCTGTCTCTCTCTCTCTCTCTCTGTCTAACTTTTTGTTCACGCTGTTATCACAACGTTTCTCAACGATATGGGACAATTTTTTTTTTATCGATAACGAATGAAACTATTTCACGTTTCAATAAATGCGTGGGTGAATGGAAGAAACATAAGAGAGGAGTAAAAGTAAGGAAGATCAAGCGACTACTACTACTACTACGGATTTGTAATAATCGGTGTTCTTTCAACGTAAGAACGTACCACCTTACCAAAGGATTTTAATATGACCGCGACTCAATTTCCCTGGATCGTACGGTGTTGTCTCGTGTGAAAGAGAAAGAGAAAGAAGATATTCTCGTGTCAGTGTTTTCGACGATACGTTTTCTCTAGGGAGAGGGGGGGATGGTGGGGTGGTGGGCTGGGGAAAGGGATTTCAATATTTCTCTGTGAGACTCCGAAGTGTTACCACTTTCAATTTCTCTTTCCCTCTCTCTCTCTTTCTCTCTTTATCTCTCTTTTACTCTTATACTATGATATAACTCGATCTATCAAATTTATTCATCTATCTTTCATAACGTGAAACGAATCGAGGAACGCGACTTGGATCTTCAAAAAGGTCCAAACATGTCAATCCCTCTTCCTACGTGCTCGTCGTAGGACAGATAGCCGAGAGAGGTAAGTTAAATCAAAATTGTTTTGTTTCTAGTACATATGAGATTTTATATAAAATAAAAATTAAATTAAATGAAAAAATAAGCATAAACGTGTATCTTTTATAGTTATCTTGAAAGTTATGATCTTATCTCATCGTGATTTTTCGAAATTCTTCTAATTTCCGTCCCCCGCCAATGTTTTTCTTCCATTGCTCGTCTGAAATTCATATAAAAAAAAAAGGATTGAAAATGCGAAATGCGAAATCACATCGCATTAGAGCCCGAGGAGAATTCTAAGAGCAGGTGAATCAGCGTAAGAGAATGAACTCTGGGTGCGCGGCAGCAGCGAATGTGTTCTCCGAATGAACATGTGCGCGCTTACAATACACCTAATACACCTTAGTATAACGTAAGAGTACGTCCTATGTATGAATAGTAGTAATAGTAGTAGTAGTAATAGTAGTAGTAGTAATAGTAGTTCATGTATATAGTTATACATATATACGAGAACACAAACGTTCTCGAGGGTAATATTGTCCCTTCCGAGATGACCGAGCGTGTTCCAATAGAAAACCATGCGAAATGGCAAACGCTTGATTGTTCTCTCGTATTTTTCATTCTTTCTTAAATAACAGATATATATATATTTCTATTCTCATTTTGTTTTTCTAACTTATGTCTTATTACTATTTATCATCGTGATAAAAAATAAAGAAAAGAAAATATAAAGAAGAGAAAAACGGAAAAGTTTATTTTAAACAAAACAAACCAAAAAATAAGTTTACTTTATAAAACTCGAGAAAGTATTTTATTTCCTAAAAGAAATCAACGAAGAAAGTCAGAAAGTTTAAAATAAGAAATAAGAAAATATAGAAGAATAAGAAGAAGAAAAAGAAAAAGAGGAAGAAGTAGAAGTAGAATCATGTTGAATATTTTCCCTTGAAAGGTTCAAGTATATACATGTATAAAGAAAAAAGAAACAGTTAAGAAATGAAACCGGTCTCGTTAATTTACATTAAACATCGAACCTATGTAAACTATGTATATACTATAAAGGAATAAGATGTATTTTCTCCTATTTTCTCATGGCATAGAAAATTGAAGGCAAAAAAGAAAATTGTAGAGAAGCTATTAAACGTTAAAAGACTTTCCACGAGCTTTGTTGTTGGTATATAAGAGAATGATAATCTCTGTTTTCTCAATATAACTATTGGTTGTAAAGGTAAAATTCCTCTTTCAATGTTAATCAAAGTAACTCGGAGGATTTTAAGGATGCAGCAAAAGATTGTACAAAGCATGGATGGATATTGTAACCCAATTAAACGTGTAACAACAATTTACCTTGTTTCTACGTTATACGCAGTACCTATATCAGTATCAAGTGCAATAAACCCGTTCATTTTTTGCCATTTTCATTTTCATTTTACTCTTATTATGATTTCTTTTCTTTCTTTTCTTCTACGAATTGTAATTATAAGTATCAGAGAAGATTCGTAGAAATGAATTGTTCATTTTCTATTATCCAACCGACTACTCGAGTTGAGCTATTAATTTGAGCCACGTGCTCAAAGGGGAAAGAAAAAATAAACAAAAAGAAAATAATAATTATAACGGTTAAGAAGGAACGATTCACAAGTTAGACGAGAGTTGGATGATTGCGTAAAAAAAAAACATCATTGAGATGAATCAACGTTGGAGTTATTGATTGTGCAACCCTCCCCCCTTTTCCCCGATTCTATCGATGTTTGTTGCACAACTTCGTCGATGTTTTGTCAGTCGAATGTGTGCGTTTTAGTTAGGACAACTTAATCCGAATGATACAACTTTACGTAATATTTAAAACATAAACAAAATAATGAAACGGATTTTAAATCTAACGTAAAGTTACATTGTAATCCTATCAGATTTTTGTTGTTTCCTTTTTTTTTTTTATCAATGTTTCAGAATCAGAAGATTTGTTTTTTTTTTTTTTTATTTACATATGATTAATTTAAAAGATTTTTAGAATCGATCTAGTTATTCACGAACAATCTCGATTTTACTCGACGTAGCGTAACGCGCAAGGGGAATTGAGTCATGTCGAGAAATAAAGTAACTATATACAATACAGTTATATTTAAGGGGGCCGTGGAGAGATACGACCGTGTCAGATCGTGGATAACCCACTTTTCGAATCGATCTTCTCGAGTTATTTCGAATTCTGTATTGCATGAGAGGCACTCGGCCAAGTTTCCCAAGCATCGGGAAATCGTTCGTAAGCCTCGAGGAAAAACTTTATGTAAGAAATGTCACCAGGTGTTAGGTGGTTGGGGTGGTAGTGTTAGATATTGCGTTGCAAAATTTTTCTACGAAAAAGAATAAAATAGGAAGAAGAAGAAGAAGAAGAATAAGAAGAAGAAAATAAAATAGCATGATTTAAAAATTCCTTTTGAAACGTTTGCAAACGATGGTCAAAGAAACGTTACCAGATGGTAAAGGTGGTAATAGGTATTGCATTGCAACCATTTTTTTTTTTTCAAAGAAAAAGAACGAAATAAGAAGAAGAAGAAGAAGAACGAATGAAAACAAACAATAAAAAATCAACACAAGATAGAAAAATTTTTTTTCGTAACGTTTGAGAACGACGATCAAAGAAAAAACCCTGATTATTTTACTTGACGTTCGAGAAAAGGTTTCGTTGAGATACACAGGAAATGAAATGAAGATTTTCTACAAAGTAGTAGGTGTAATTTAACTACTTTCCTTATATTCATTTTATATTCTTCCTTCTTTTTCCACCTCGTCGAATTCGTTAGCAACAATTCCCCCTTTTTTCCTTATTCTTTAGGCGGGCAACTTCGTGTAATAAAAATGGTTTATTATCTTTTCTTTTAATCTCTTACGTTGAAGAGAAAGAAAAAAAGAAAAAACAGTTAGGAAGATTACGAACTATGGTGGACTTCCTATGTGAACGAAATTGCATACGTGATGATGGATTTCAAAGTAGGATGATTGAGGGATGAACAAAATAAATATATGCTATGGTACTTCTTCTTATAACCCGGAAAAAAATAGGGGGTTTATATCTTTCACGTGAGGGAAAATATCATGAGGTATTTATCGAGTTTAAACACAATTTAAAATATATATTTGATAAAAATATTTCCTTTTATACTTTAATGGAAAATAAATAGTAATTGTATATATATATATATATGCATTTGATTTTCATTTCGAATTAACAGTTTATTTAATTTAATCG